ACAAAATAATTAGTTGAAATAGAAACTAAAAAAAAAGCAAATGTAAATTTTAAAAGATAATTTAACTTGATAAAATCAAACCTGAATATCACCACCAGACAATAACACTTTACAAAATACTTAGATTCATATAAAACACGATTGAATATTTAACATAAAATTATTTAAAACCAATAAAAAATAAAAAACAACTTACTTATATTTAAAATAAGGTTGCCTTTAGCTTGTATAAAATTAACAGCCTGTCATTGACAGGCTGTTAATTTTGACAGTGTAAAGAATCAATACAACACCTACAAAATAGAATGTTTAGTTAAGTAAAACATTAAAAAATTAAAGTTTAGTAACTTTAAAGACAGATTAAAAAATGCATACTATTTATTTAAGTATATATCATTTATGACAATGACAATAGAAGATTCAATGTTATTTCAAGAAATACAAAAAACTTATTGTGTGCACATCTACGATGCCTCGTGCACTACATCCTCGTTTAGATGTTAAAAACGTTCAAGTTGACTCTTCCTATATTATACGGATTATAATGCCATTTTGAAGGTTATCTAAATTCTGTTATTGTTGCGCACTCGGTTTAGAATGTTTACTAGGGGCGTGACAAAAGAGCTATGACACTTTAAATTTTTTTTATTACTTTCTTACTTTTTTTTTTTTTTATTTACTTTATTAAATAATATTAACTTTTTATTACTTCTAAAAATAATAAATTAAATAAAATGGTTTATTTTAAATATAAAATTTAAATTTTATATTATTGTTTGAAAAGTGTTTGAGGTCAGCAAAAAATTGCCGACCTCGTTTCTATGTTTTATGGTAAGACCTTTGTTTTTTTTTGCTGACCTCTATAAGATTGAGGTTGGCAAATTATTTGTGACCTCATTTTTCCTAATTCTGTGGGTTGATATATATATATATATATATATATATATATATATATATATATATATATATATATATATATATATATATATATATATATATATATATATATAAACAGTGGTGTACACTCAGATTTTAGTTGGTCTTCCGGCGGGCGACTGAGAGTAATAATTTAGCTAATCTTGGTCGCCCGCCAAAATTTAAGTCATCAAACTTTTTTTTGAAAGTTTCTTTAAAAGAAAAATGTATCCTTATATTTAAATTTTTAAAAATAATAAAACATTGGATTGCTTACCATTATAAAGCTCATAACAAAACTTTATTTCTATATTAAAGTTTTTAGTATATTATTTAAACAAAATGTTTCAACAAATGTTTTAACAAAATAAAATAAAAAAAGTTTATTATTCAATTAAAAGCGTTTGATTAATAAACGTTTTAATATAAGAGATTTTTATAATTTAATTTTTTGAAACGTTTGCTAATCAGCAGCTATGACTTTCATTCGTTCTTTAAAAAAAGCTTTCTTTATAAAAACTTTCGATCATTCTTTATAAAAAGCAAAAACATGCGTTTTTATTTAAACATAATTATGTAAGTTAATAGAAAAGAAGAAAAATAAACTTCAACAATCAGACTTTTAAAAAGTTGCTTTATTGGGTAAATCCATATGAAATCATCCCCAAAAAATTATTTTTATGTTATATTTATTAATTATTGTTACATAATATTAAAAAGTGATTATCAAAAGCTATTTTGTAATAGTTTTTCGGAAACAAAGGAACAAATTTACCTTTAGAATAAAATCAATTTAAATATTGAGTAATTTAAATTTAAGTAATAAGTTTCAAATTTAAATTACATTTTTTTTTTAGATTTAAATTACGTTAAATTTAAATTTGATTATGAATTTTTAAGTTTAGAATTAAATTTAAGTAAATAATTTTGATGTTGAGTAAATTAATTTGAGTTGCCCGGCCGGGTGACTCAATTGCATCATAACAATATTTCCAATAGCCCTTTGAAAGGTTTGGGTGGCATTTGCCAATGGGCAACCACGAGTGTACACCACTGATATATATATATATATATATATATATATATATATATATATATATATATATATATATATATATATATATATATATATATATGTATATATATATATATATATATATATAGTTTTATTTATTTCATTTTTAAAATTATGTTTTACACGGGATCTCAACTTTGCAATGATGTACTTAAATATTTTAATTTATTTAAATTTAAAGGGTGTCAGCCTTTTTTCATCAATATGAAAGGAATAAAAATAGATTAGTACAGATACCTGAGGGAGTATAATTTAAATGCCTCTTTAATTTTAGTGCCGTTGTTAAAAAATGTTTGTTAAAAGAAATTTGAAAACAGCCTGAAGATTTAAGGCAAATTGAGTCTAGAGTTTTTTATTTGCTGCTTATTTTTTTAGTAGATATTTTAAAAAGATCCTTAAAAATCCAATTTTTATAGTTTTTTGCTGTGTTTAAAGTATAACTTTGCAGGATTAGAATTTGTATTTGCTAAACAAAACAGATGTTCTCAAATTTTGCCATTCTTCAGCATCATGGTTCTAAGTTTACAACTTTTAAAGGTTTTTTAACAGGGCTGTAATTAGTTAGATTTCTATTGTGTAATATCTTTGGTTGTGAATTATAGTAACTTTAATCATATTTTGCTGAACCAACAAAATCAAATAATAGCTTTAGATTACTTTTTAATTTTACTATAATGTAACAATAAATTTTTACATTATTTTAAACTTATCTAATGAAATTAAATTTATAACCTACAAGAATAATAACTTGTTCACATTCTGTATTACTTATCTTTTAGCAACAAAAAAAATAACTGCAATCTTAAAAATAAATAACAAATTTTAGGAAAATCAAAAATTCTTTTTGCAAGATTATAATGGCATATAAAATATTAGCAATAAAATCAATAGGTAACGAATATTAATATAGTCAAGCACAACTTCAAACTTGTAATGGCGATGCCGCCTTTTACTTATTCCAGAAAATATTGGTTAAGATAGTATTAGTTTAACATCAATTCAAGGGGCAGTTACCTTTTTTGAATAAAACTGATTATAACTTCTTCTATAATAGAATTTTGACATAATACCTTTCCTAAATTTATTCAATATTTAATGATAACTATTACTAAATATAAAATAAAAAATATTCACAAAAGTCTTCTATGAGTTTATGCAAAAATAAGATTCAATTTCAACGTAAGCAACGTATTTTTACTGATCAATCGGATTTGCACTTACATTAGATCTACTTTGATATTTGTAAATCTAATAAATTATGAAAAATCTGTTATGAAAAATATAACAAATCTTTTGTTTTCTTTTTGCAGAAAAGCTCCTTTTTAAAAGTGTAAAAAGCTTTTCTTTCGAACATATGAAGCAATATTTTTAATTTCAAAGTTTTCGTTAGTTGTTTTCAGTCAGTCATTATTTCTTAATTATTTCCAGATTTTGGAAACCTTATAAAAAATGTTCCTTGAGGTAATCCATCACTATATCTAGAATCTGATTTACAAATTTCCCAAGAACAATACTTTATAGGACCTTTGTTTATTTGATAAACATGATAGTTTATCAAATTGTTTGTTCGAATATTAATCCCATAATCACTTATTATATAATTGCGTTACATTAAATAGTTTTATTTGTAGAACACAAATGATACTTTATTTAAAATTTTTCCTTTTTTTCTCTTTGATTCTCTTTATTTCCAAATGCTAATGTATCATCTTTTAAACCTTATATTTGCATTTTGAATCACACGAATGGGCAAATTAATCATTAATTACCAGGTCTGTGAAGTCGGAGTCGTGACATTTTTAGGGAAGTAGAAGTCGCTAAACAAAATTGGGACTCTGACTCCAAAAATAAAACTTCTCGGTAATGCACATGTATGTCCAAAATATTTAACCTTTTTTCATATATTTGGCAAAAAAAAAATTTTAATTATCGGGTAATATTTTTTGAAGACTTCAAAGAAATTTTCAAAAATTTTGCTTTAGAGTCAGAGTTCGTACTCTGAAAAATTTGAAAAAGTCTGAAAAAGTCGTACTCTGAAAATTTCTCTGAAAAAGTCTGGACTCTGAAAAAGTCGTACTCTGAAAATTTCAACAATTGGAGTCGGAGTCGAGTTAGCACTTTTTTTTTACGACTCCACAGAATTTCTTTTGTTTTTCATTAGTAAGATAAATTTTTATTTTAACATTGTCAAACAAAATTAACAAATAAAAAATATTAGGATGCATGTGAAAAATCATTATTAAAATGCAGTTAATGATGTATTTGAAAATTCTTTTTTTCTAAAAAAAACCATTTCTTAGTATAATAAAAAACATTTAAAATATTATTAGATAATGTTTTAAAAATTCAACTAAGTTAAATTTGATTGAAGCTTGACAGTGAATAATATAATTTTTTTCTATTTATAAAACGTTTCTTTGCAGTTATGGCTTTCAACTTTTTTGCTTCACATATTGAAACCTTTGTTAAGATTGGCAAAAAGAAATGATTTAAAACATTGATTACAATAATGATGATCTTGAATTAATTTAATAAATAAATAAATAAATTTACTTTTAAATAAACTGTTTCTTATACGTCTAGTATTTTAGTAGTCAGATGTTTAAATTTTTTTCTTCAATATTTCCACCCAAGAAAAAATATCCCCAAAAAACTATTACACCAGACTACTGATTATCTTAGCCGATGACTCAAATGAGAAATAAAAACTCAGTTTCAGTTGTGCGCAGAGCAACCGGAGGGTACACCACTGATATATATATATATATATATATATATATATATATTTCATATACACATATATATTACATTTTGTATTTATTGTGTGTATTATATTTTGTATATATTATATATTATATTATGTTTATATATTGTTGTTGTGGTTTTTTATTTGCATTTGATAGGTAATTTGTTGTACTTAAATAACAAAATCAGTTTTCATAGCTTTTTTATATGCATAGGGAATTATTTATGTCTAGGGAAGTTTGGACTAAAAACTTTTTATTTTTAGGCTATGTGAGAATTATTTTCATGTTGGTTTCATTTTATTTCATGCCTTCCAGTCCTTGGATTGCTGTTAGTTTATATTTAACAAGTGAATTTTTGGATGCATTTGATGGGCATGCTGCACGTGCATTAAATCAATGTAAGCATTTAAAATTATATGTTTATTTAATCAGGCGTGGTGAATGCAACCAGGTAACTTTTACTTAAAAGTATAAAAACCATAATTTGAAATTAAAATTCAAAAAAGTCATTTTTGATTAAGTTGATTAAAAAGTTATAAAAAAAAATTTATAAAGATTTAAAAAAATTTATAAAAATAAAAAAAAAATTATAAAAATTTAAACAAAATATTGATGAGTAGATCAAAGAAGTAGAATAGACATAATTATTTTATTGCAGTAAAAAAAACTTCCACAGCAGTTAGCGGCCACAGTTCACAAATATAGGTTTTAGGTATAAAATGTGACCCCAGAAGCTTTAATGGATTTAGGTTACAAACACCATATGTTTTAAGGATCTAACTTTAAAAAAATCTAATGAGTGGCCCTCATGTTTCCAATCTATTAAATGCCTTTAGGCATTTAATAGATTGGAAACATGACACGCCGCTGAGACCATTAAAAAAATTTTCAACACCTATTTAAACTTGAACGTTTAAAATTCTACAAGATTTACATCATAGTCTTAAAAAACTGTTCTCCAGAACTCTCTTCAATATTTGCTTAACTTTAAAAAAGTGCTAAATAAGTGGTTTCAATTTTTCAAAACTCTAGAAAACACTTTGACCTATCTGACTATCCTACAATTAGTAATTGATTTATTAGTTGCTTTTATTTTGTTAATTGACTTGAAATTTTTTGGAAAAATGTTGGTGCAAAATTATAACCTCATTTCAATTTTACTCTACAAAATTCTGAATACCTTCAAATCTTTGATTTGGCATACTTTCCAAATGCTTTCTAAGATCTGCAAGAAATATGTACTTCCAAACATGTACAATTGCCTTTTTCAACTCATCAACATTCGAATATTGATTCCTTTCTGTTTAAACACGTCTTGCTAAGATGCCCCATACATTTTCGATGGGATTTAAATCAGTTGAGAGTGCTGGTCATAATTAAATTAATAAGCAATTGAATTTTCTTGCTGGTAAACCATGAGATATTTGAATTTGCTCTATGAATTGGAACATTATCTTGCTGGAAAATAAAATTGTGGTTACCAAATTTTTCGTAAAATATCATTTAAATGACCATTCAACAAATTTCTATATCCTTCAGCATTTAATTTAGCAGTAATAAAGCCAAAAGAAGTTTTTCCAAAATAAACGAACGCACTACAAATCTTCTCCACTTCCTATAGCCCTTCTTTTTGAAAATATTTTTCTTATATCATGTCAGTAGTAATTGAAGCCATCTGGACCATCAAGATTGAGTTTTTTTTCATCAAACCACACAATTTTTTGCCATTCTTTTTCCTAAGTCATGTGGTCCTTGGCCTATTGAAGATGAATGCATTTGTGTGCTTCAGTTAGTGCTGGAGATGTGCATTTTTTGCATATCTAAGAATGCCTGACCTGTTAATTGCACCATTCATTGTCCATCTTGCATTTTTTCAAACAGGGCAATTACTTGCAAACTGAGATGCTCACCACGTTTGATCAATAATTTCGTAAATGTTTCAACAAATTATTGCGCCAAGCATTTCAATCCTAAATTAGCACCTATTTGTCTCGCGGAGATTGTACGGTTACTATTGGCATGCACAATTCGTTGCTGTTGGCAAGCTATAGGTATAGGTTTTCTACCACTTCAATCCTTGGTGCGATAATTTGTTGGATCATTTACGAAATTATTGATCAAAGGTGGTGAGCATCTCAGTTTACAAGCAATTGCCCTGTTTGATAAACGGAATGACCTGTAGGCTTCAATCTTGCCTTTTTCTTCATTGAAGAGTGCAATTCTTCATGGCATTCGTTATAATATATTTTATTATTTTAAAATGTAATAAATTTAATTTGAAAACAGAATTTACTGCTAATTTTTAATGGCTTTTGATGCAATTTAGATAAAGAGGTCATATTTGTGCACCACAGTTTTAAACCCCACTGTATATATATATATATATATATATATATATATATATATATATATATATATATATATATATATATATATATATATATATATATATATATATTTTTTTATTATACTTCACTTCCTCAAGGCCAAGAAGGCCACTACAGACGAGGAGGCTACTTATTTTGTGGCTGTAACCCTCTCTCAACTCTATAACTCCGAAACACGAACCTTGACAAACAAGGCCGCTGTGCAGAGAAACAAGTTGAGCGCGGTACTACCAGGGACGTGGTGGGGATCGAACTCGGAACCACTCGTTTATGAAGGGAGCGCTCTACCACTACACCACTACCGCATAATATATATATATATATATATTATGCGGTGGTGTATATATATATATATATATATATATGCAGTAGTGGTGTATATATATATATATATATATATATATATATATATATATATATATATATATATATATATATATATATATATATATATATATATACACACCACTACCGCATATATATATATATATATATATATATATATAATATATATATATATATATATATATATATATATATATATATATATATATAAATATAATCAAATTAAAACTTCTATTATGGATGTAACTCTTTATTTGAAATTAATTTTCATACAATATTTCAAGGGATTATTGATACCCTTGTTGTCAAGTATATAAATATATATAAAAAAACCTTAAATACAAAATGAAAACAAAAACAAATCAATGCAATAGTTTCTTTTCATTTAAATACCGAAACATAGGTTTTCAAAAGGAAGTTGTGACGTAATCTCCGTCGTCCTGATTTAGACTGCCGTCTGAAGGTGAGCATTCATGGTGCTGTATTTTAAGCGCTTCCCTCACTTTACTGTTAAAATTATTAACCTCTACTTTTAAGGTATTTTTATTGTTCCATGTAAAATTGCCATGACAATTTTTTGAATGCTCCGCTATGGCTGAGTAATCCCAATATCCTTCGTATGTATTTTTTTGATGTTGGTAAATGCGTGATGAGATTTTTAATTTTGTTTCACCGATATAACATTTTTTGCAGGAGCATTCAAGTTTGTACACACTTGGGTAAGAATTTATAGGAAGAGAAGGTTTATTTTTTGTGGTAAGTATATGTTGTAAATTTTTTGGAGATTTAAAAACTGGTGTATAACCTGCTTTTTTGAAAGCTTTTTTTAACTTCGGGCTAATTCCTGGAATCCATGGTAAAGATCCATGGTATTTTTTAATGCAATTGATGAATGTTGAGTTTTAATATTTTGCTTTTTATTATGTAAATTTTCTTTAGTGGTTTTTATAATATGTTCCAGGTTTGTTTTTTTATAACCATTTTCTACAAAAGCATCAGCTAGAAATAATAACTCTTGTTCAATATTATTATCAGAGCATAAATATAATGCCCTATGAACAAAACCTTTGAAAATTCTGTTTATAATTTTTGGATCATGGCATGAGTTAGGTTTGATTTGGACATTAGTTAAGGCATCTTACTACATAAAGAAAAGTTACTACATAAGCAAAACAATAACAATAACAACAACAACAACAACCATGAAAAACCAATTAAAAAAGTTAAAGAGGTAACACTTAATTTAGCTAATGATATACCAATGCATCATAAAAAACTACTTGATCTCAGTCCAAAGATTGTTCCCAATCTAAAACACATACCTTATTTAGATATTATAACAATTACTGAATTGTCTGCTTCAAAATTACAGTAATAACAAGAAAAAAACTCAAGGAGTTAAACTAAGACAGGATGTTTTGAGAATTTTAAAAATCACTAAGCCTATCAAAAGTAATCTAGATAAAAAACAACATAAAGCCCTTTATGAGATTAAGAAAGATGATAATATTATGATATATCCGTTCGATAAAGGATCTGGACTAGTGAGAATTAATTCTGATAGTGCTTTAACCAAAATACAAGAACATTTAGGGAGCAAAACAAAAAAACTCAACTATGATCTAACTCCACAAATCGTTCATAAAGTTCAAAACACACTCAGAAAACTAAATAAAGCAGGTCGATTTACAGTTAAAGAATATAAAGATCTTTACCTGAGTGATGCTATACCACCTCGTTTGTATGGAGTCATAAAAGCCCACAAACCTGAAAAAAACTACCCGATGCGAGTTATCGTAAGCACTATTGGAACGGCTACATACAAAATTTCTAAATTCTTAACTGATATGATACAACCCATCCTCAATAAGAACAATACACATTTAAAAAACTCTTAACAATTTGTTAACTTAGCTAATTCATGGAATATTGACAAAGATGAAATCCAAGTGTCTTATGATATCATTAATTTATATCCTTCAGTCCCAGTAAAGGAAGCGATAATTATCCTTATTGAGATGTTGAAAAATGATCCTAGTTTTACATCAAAGTTTACCTTTGATGAAATAAAAACACTTTTAGATATATACCTTTTGCATTGTTATTTTTTATTTGAACATGACATTTACGAACTAGAAGATTCTGAACCTATTGGTTTAGGACTTATGGTAGTAGTTGCGGAGTGTTTTTTACAGTTTCACGAAAGTAATGCTATTGCACAAGCAATTTCCAATAATATTCAATTAAAGTCATTTAAAAGATATGTCGATGACTCCCATTCTCGTTTTAACTCTACTGAAGATGGGAAAAAATTTTTAATACTACTTAATAACCAACATAAAAATATTCAGTACATCATGGAAATCAAAAATGAAAATAACACGCTAAACTTTCTTGATGTTACTATTATTAACAATAAAACTGGTATGTACAATTTTAAAGTTTACCCTAAAGATGCCTTAACTAATGTCCAAATCAAACCTAACTCATGCCATGATCCAAAAATTATAAACGGAATTTTCAAAGGTTTT